TCCTCCTCCCTCCTCCTCCTCCTCCTCCTCCTCCTCCTCCTCCTCCTCCTCCCCCTCCTCCTCCTCACAGCTTCCTATTCGTGTTGGGGAAGCGGTGCGCGACCTGGGGGTCATGACTACTGCAGGGCGTCGACGTTGTGTGAGTAAGTTGAGACAGCGACGTGCCGTTGCGTATAAGAAAGCTGCGAAAGTGAGGTGTCTGACTCGTTTAGTCGGCAGAGCTAGGAAGCTCTATAAGCCTGCGGTGTTGGCGGTTGGATCCTGGGGCCATGAAGTTTTGGGTCTTTCGCCGTCGCAGGTCCAAAGCATGAGGAGTCAGGCCGCTACGTGTTCTGGTTGGTGGCGTCCTGGGTCCTGTACGACTACCGTTCTGAGTTTGGTTAGCCCTGCTAAGGATGACCCCCAGTTTAGGTTGCGGTACGAACAACTCAATGCCTTTGCGTCAGCGTGGAGTGGGATGGAACATCAACAACGTATGCGTGTGGCCCGTGTGTGGAAGCAGGTGTTGGCTAAATTCGAGTGCACTCAGTACCGATGGCAAGTCGTGCGAGGTCCGATTGCGGCTACGCTTGCGGTGCCACTTGATTTGCGATGGGATCCTGTTTCTCCAGTCTGCTGGCGTGTTGGTACAGTTACATTGCGGGTGACTGATGCAGATTTCCCTGCCCATCTTTGGGACCTTTTGTTTGATGCATGCCAGTCGCTTTCGTGGCAAGCGGCAGCGGGTCATTATATGGGTACAGGGGTGGAAGGAGGAGTTGATTTTACTGTGTTGTATCGTATGCTACGTCATCAGGAAAGGAATGGTGAGGCGGAGGCTGCAGGAATGGTACGTAATCTTGTCGCTGGTGGCTACTGGACGGAGTCCAGACTTTACGATGCGGGATATCGCTCGAGTTCAGGTGGAGCCTGTACACGTTGCGGGGCCTCAGCAGAGACCCCTTTTCCATCGCTTTTGGGACTGCTCCTGCAATCGGCTTGTGCCTGATGCGGTCTTGGATCGCACCGATTGTTTGCGCGATCGGGTTTTAGCGGAGCCTGAGCTTTCGTGTTTGTGGTTTCGAGGCTTGGTCCCGAAGGCTCTCACGTGTGGCCATTTGCCTCCGCCTGTTTCGCAGGTGTGGGAGTGGGGCCGACTGATCGGAGGAGGTGTGATCGATGGAGGAGTGTGGGGAATAGATGGATCTGGGGGGAAGTTCACTAAGGACTGGCGGCTTCGCCGCTGTGGCTGGGCGTGTGTCCACTTAGGTTCATCTGGCCTCTTCGACTCCCTCCTCATGGGCACCCTCCCTACCAAGAAGCAGTCCTCTCCTCGTGCGGAGTTGTTTGCTCTCATTATGCTGGCACGTCGTACTACGGGGCATTGTCGTGTGTACTGTGATTATTTGCGGGTAGTTCAAGGGTCACGTCGCCCATTGTGTGACAAACGTGGGTCTTCGATGCTGGATCTTTGGGTGCAATTTCATGATGTTATGTTCGCTAGAGGGGGATCTATCCAAGTGTTGTGGACGAAATCGCATTCGACCCAGGCCCAACGCCAAAATATGTTCATGAGTGATGTAGAAGTGTATTTGAACAAGGCTGCTGATTTCTTTGCCGATGCTGCTGCTGACAGGGCCCAGATCCCCGAGGATTTAGTTGACCGAACCCGTCGGGCCGACAAACTTGCGTTTGATGTGTTGTCGCGGTTGTTGGCGGTCCAGCGTGAGGTGCTTTTCTCGGGAGGCCGTGAGACTTCGGAACGGGTTCCTAGGCGGCAGCGCGGACAGCAGACCAGTTGCGCTGTGAGGTTGTGTCGCTTGCGCGATAGTGGTCACTCTCCTGAGGTGCGTTTGGCGTCTCTCAAGTGTTTTCGATGTGCGCGGGGCTTCCCTTTGAAAGGCAAGCTGGCGGATTTTTGGCCTGATCCCTGCAAGCCTCGCTGTGAACTGCAGCAGCGGATTCAGTGTCTTCCTCCTCGCGTCGCCCAGGCCTCAGGGGTGGAAGATCCGCCGCCTGATGATCTGGCTGCTGTTCAGGGGTGTGGAACACCCCTGGACCACCCAATGTCGGACTTTTGTTCGCCCACGCATCAGTTGGCCGTGTTTCGAGGGGTTTTGTATTGCGAGGTATGTGGTGGTTTTTGCACTGTGAACCCCCCTCGCATTCTGAGCAGGGCTTGTGATCGGCCCTCGTCCACTGGGAAGGAGGTTTTGTCGAGGATCTCCCGCGGGCTTCCCCCGAAGTCGGGCACCCGTTTCCCTGATGTGTGAGTTGGTGTTTAAGCGACCTCCCTAGAGGAGGATGACGCTTCAGATAGAATTAGAATTAGAATTACTCCTCCTCCCTCCTCCTCCTCCTCCTCCTCCTCCTCCTCCTCCTCCTCCTCCTCCTCCTCCTCCTCCTCCTCCTCCTCCTCCTCCTCCTCCTCGTGGAGACCCATGCCGGTACCGTTTGACCAATCCCCCCCCCACCCCCATCCCCCATCCCCTGCGAGACCCCTCATTAAGTTGACACCCCCAGTTGGGGAGACACCCCTCGTCACCAGAGGGATGCGGCCTACATCCTCATGCAGGGGGTTGAATCGGCCAGTGGGGCCCAGGGCACGCCGCTGGGGATGGGGATCGCTTAAACGATACTCACCATACAAAGAAACACCCTGCTTGCCTCCAGGGTGCCCTGGGTTTCCTGGGTCTTGATGGTTCTACCGTGGAAAGCGTGACGCTCCCACGCCAAAAATCCATGGACGTCCTGTGGCCTCAGGGTTGGACTTTTTGTGGAAGGTGTCTTGTGGTCGGGCCCCATGATTACCCTTTTAGTTCCGTCTGTAGCGTCGATCCGCGTCGATTGGCGTCTGGGAGACAATGGGATTGCGCCGGCTTAGAGTCGATCAGCGTCGATTTAGCGTCGACTAGCGTCGATTTAGCGTCGATCAGCGTCGTTTGGCAAGAGCCGACAAGGTGGCATGGGAGGCTTCCATGATTTGCCACCGAACACATCTTCGACGACGCGACTATGAAGAGGTACGTTCCGGCGCCAGTCTTCAAGAGGTTCCTCGAGGACACTGTGTCTGGTGCTCCCACCAGCGAGGAGGACCAGCGGGCCATCGCGGAAGGCATGTTCAAGTGGGCGCGGGAGAAAGGCTGCACCGACTTTGCCCACTGGTTCTTCCCGTGCCGCGGCGGCAGCGGTGCCGTGGGCGGTGCCGTCGGCGCCCTCAAGATGGACACCCTGGTCGACCTCGACTTCAAGTCGGGGAGCGCGATCAAGCCCTTCTTCGCGACGCTCCCGCACGAGCGCCTGTTCCAGGGCGAGACAGACGGCTCCTCGTTCCCCAACGGCGGCCTGCGCGTGACGCACTCCGCCGCCGCCTTCACGGTGTGGGACCGGACGTCGCCCCCGATCATTGCGGGCACCACGCTCCGGATCCCGTGCTCCTTCCTGACGCACCTGGGAAAGGCGATCGACGACAAGACGCCGCTCCTGCGCTCGCAGGACGCCGTGAGCGCCCAGGGGATGCGCTTCCTGAAGGCCCTGGGGCTGGCATCCGATGCCAAGTGCCTGCGTTCGTACCTCGGGTGGGAGCAGGAGTTCTTCGTCGTCTCCGCCGACCTGTACAAGAAGCGGCCAGACCTCGTCAACACGGGCCGGACGCTGTTCGGCAAGCTGCCCACACGCGGCCAACAGATGGACCTCAATTACTTCGCCCCCGTCCCAGAGCTCGTCGACAAGCTCCTGGTGGAGGTGCAGCAGGAGATGCTGAGGACGGGCACCCCGATGGCGGTCCGCCACAACGAGGTGGCGCCTGGGCAGCACGAGATGTCGCCCATCTTCGGGCTGGCCAACTGGTCCGCCGACAACAACGTGTACTTCATGGAGGTCTGCAACAGGGTGGCAGCCAAGTACAATCTGATGGTGCTGTTCCACGAGAAACCATTTGCCGGCATCAACGGCAGCGGCAAGCACGCCAACTGGTCCGTCGGAACCGACACGGGCATCAATTTCTTCTACCCGGGCAAGACGGATGAAGCACGCACCATCTACACTGCGGCCCTGGCTTGCCTCGCTCATGGCATCATGCAGTACAACGAGGTGCTGCGCTGTGCCGTGGCACACGCAGGCAACGACCACCGCCTCGGAGCCCAGGAGGCGCCCCCGGCCATCATCTCGCTGTACCCCGGCACCGGCTTCGAAACGCACGTGGACGCGGTGATCGCAGGCGGTCCCCTACACGAGTTCAAGGCTGAGAAGAAACAGCAGTCCACTGGCTGCAAGGCGTCCATGGCGGTGGAATCCAACGTCGAGGACCGCAACCGCACGGCGCCCTTCCCCTTCTGCGGCAACCGCTACGAGTTCCGCGCAGTAGGCTCGTCGCAGAACTGCTCTTTCCCGGTGATGATCTGCAACACGATAATGGCCGCCGGCATGAGCGCGCTCTCCGATAAGATCGAGGGCGGCATGAAGGCGGGCATCCTTTCTCGGTCCTCCACCCTTCTGTTGTTCCCTCCAGTGTGCGGCTTACACCCCCAGACCCTTTCGTTTGTTGTCTCGCCCTTGTTTTTCCCCTCCAGCTTCTTCGGCGCTGTGCCCTTCAAACCCTGTCTGGTTTTCCCTCGCACCCTTTTCATTTTTCCCTCCATCGTTGTTCCCTGCTCCATCTGGTAGCAAGGGACTGGCCTTCGCGGGGTTGCCATTTTGGGGGTTGTAGAGACCTGCGGTCTCGTTTTTTGTTTCCTCTGCGTTATTTGTTGTTGTTTGTTGTGTTTTGTTGTTTCTCTACCCTTTCTTCCTTCCTTCCTCAGTTTGTTGTTTGTTACTCCCCAGCGCCGCCAGACAGCAGTTCACGATGAAAAGCTGGTCCTGGGGACGGGGTCGACTCATCTGGAGTCCGCTTTGTGAGCGCCGGTCACGTCACTGGGCGTCTGGGCCCGCCCTCCTCCCCCCTGCGACCGCGACGACCACGATGATGAAGCCGTCGTCGTCGTTTCGGTTCACGTCGTCGACACTGGGATGCGATGACGACGAGATGACGACCACCACCACCACCACCACCACGACCACGACTGCGACCACGATCGCGACCACGACCACGACCACGACTCGTTGCGGAGGTATTTGAAAATTGTAGATGTCCTCGTCGCCGCGGTTGGCCGCAGCTAGAATATTTTATCTGGATGGACTCTGGGAGGTGAAGACGGCGACGAAAGGGACAACGACAAAGAAGACAAAGACGACGGCGACGACGACAACGACGACGCCGGCCGTGACAACGACGACGACGACGACGACGACGACGACGACGACGACGACGACGACGACGACGACGACGACGACGACCGCGGCAGCGGCAGCGGCGACGGCGGCTGCGGCGTCGACGACGACGTCGCTGTGGAGGTTTCTGAAACTATCTGGATGTTCTCGTCGCCACGGCTGGACTCAGCTCGAAAGATTGGCCAGGATGTCCTCTGGGAGGCGGCCAGCGCCTCTCCAGCGGTGTCTCGGTGCCCTCCTGAGATCAGGGGGCGGCATCGGCCCCCTCTCCCTGGCCCCTGGGGGCGACCCCCCCCCCCGAGGGAAACGAACATCGGCGGCGAGCCCAGGGGGACTGCAGAGGGTGCGGGCCTTCTCAGGAGGGTCAGAAGTCTTCCGGCCTTCAGAGAAGTGTCCTCCGACGGCAGGGGCGATGTCGCAGACGGCGCGGGGGCTTCTGAGAAGCCCCGCCGCTTTCTTAGAAGGCCTGCCCCCTCCTCTCACGTGCCTCTGGCCTTGCCGCGGGGAATAAGGGGTTGCACCCCACCGGGGGGAATCAGATCAAGGATTCAGGGGAACAACACAGAGGTTGAAACAAAGATGGTCGATGGACGGAGGTAAAGAGTTTCCCTGTGAAGGCGCGCGATGCCGTGGCCGAGATGTACAAGAAGAACCGCAACGTCATCTTCACAGGCAATGGCTACTCCGCCGAGTGGCCAGCCGAAGCGGCCAAGCGCGGCCTCCCCAACCTCAAGACGACACCGATGGCTATCAAGCAGTGGGCCTCGAACAAGAACATTGAGCTCTTCGAGAAGCTTGGCGTCTTCTCCAAGGAGGAGACCAAGGCCAGGGCTGAGGTGATGTACGAGGCCTACAATACCACTCTCAGCGTCGAGGTCGCCACAATGGTCGACATGGTCAAGACTGGATTCATGCCGGCTTTTGCACAGGACCTAGCCTTGTACAAGGACGCCCACGACTTGATGGGCAATCGTAAGGCGCTGTACGCTTCGGTGAAGACCGAGACCGAAAAGCTTGAGAAGATGATGAAGGAGGCTCCTCATGACATGGTCGCAGAGGCCGAGTACCTTTGCGGCAAAGTTAAGGAGCAGATGGTCAAGGTGCGCTCTCTGGTCGATGAGGCCGAGGGCCTTCTGGATCAGAAGCTCTATCCGTACCCGACCTACGAGTCCATGCTCTACCACCACCACCACTGAGCTTAAGCCGAAGCCTTTTGAGTCTGTAGTATCGTAGTCTTGCGGAGGTTGCGTTTCGCCGTGCGTCCGAGGCTCGACCATCAGTTGTGGGGTCCATACCCCATCATCATCATCATCATCATCATCATCATCATCATCATCATCATCATCATCATCATCATCATCATCATCATCATCATCATCATCATCATCATCATCATCATAAGCATCATCATCATCATCATCAGCATCATCAGCATCATCAGCATCATCATATCATTATGGAGTCTTCTCGCTCCTATCTATTTTCTCCTGGTGGAGCCAGGGGGCCCAGACGATATTCTGGGCGACTCGGGCCTGTGTCCGTGTGCGCACTTATATATGGCTGCGCCGGGTGCTTGAGTGGAGCCGAGCGCCATGGTGGAGCCGGGGACCTGCCATAGAAGCGGGTCATCCGGACCGCCACCGCAGCCTGAACCCGCGCGCTTGCCCGCCGCTTCGGGCATCGCAGAGTCCGAGCCGAGGCCGCTGCTGGCCGTGGCCAAGGAGGAAAAAACGCGGGTGCTGTCGGGAACCGCTCCTCCTCCTCTCCTCCGCCTCCGTCCTCCTCCTCCTCCTCCTCCTCCTCCTCCTCATCCTCATCCTCATCCTCATCCTCCACTTTGCCCCCCATACTCCTCATCCTGCTCATCCTCTTCCTCCTCATCCTCCTCATCCTCCTCCTCCGAGGGGGATTTGTTCAGGCCGGAAGAGCTCACCATCAAGGGGGTCATCTCCTGCGAGTGGGAGCGGCAGCTCGCACGAGAGGCGGCCCAACGCTGCCTGGGAGCGCCACGCCGTCACGCCCAGACCTGCAAGGATCTGCGCATCCTGGTGAGCCCACTGGTGGTACGCCCCTTCAGCTCGTGGGCTCATGGGCGAACTCCGACGCCCACTCCCGCACGGTCCATCATGATCCGATCAATCGATATCGTTCGATATCGATGCCCGCTGGCGCCTGATCCGATTCGATTATGGTATGCAGACGACGCGATGCGGCCGGACGCTTGCATGGCGCTGTCGTGCATCCTGGCGCAGCCGATTCGGTCGTATATTCCAGTTCCGTGCAGATGGGATTCGAGTCGACGCGCGTTCATGTCCGGACTGTCGATTCGATGCTGACCGCTCTTGCCCCCGCGCCGCCCGTCGATCTGGATTAGTTGGGGTTCCAGCGTGGCTGTACGCTTCGCCCAGCGAGCCGCTCGGGGTTCCCCGCGTGAGCCTCTCTGGGCCAACCTTCTCGGGAATTACATGCAGCTGGAGCAGAGTAGTGATGGGGATGCACGGTGAGAGAGTAATTCGCAGGAGCAGCCGCACTGGTTGCCAGAAGCAGATGTAAGATACGCTGGCGCACGGTCTGTCGAACAGCTGGTCCTTACGGCAAGACTGGCGATCGCTGTCGTATGCCTTGCGTTGCCGATCAGCGCGGGCCCGCGGAGGAGGAGGAGGAGGAGGAGGAGGAGGAGGAAGAGGAGAATAAGGAGGAGAAGGAGGAGGAGGGGAAGGAGGGGGAGGAGGAGGAGGAGGAGGAGGAGGAGGAGGAGGAGGAGGAGGATCTTGGCTGCTTTCGGCGCTTGCTTCAAACAGGTTGGGTGAGCACGGGGGGGGGCCCGCCTCCCCCCCCCTCCTTGGCATCGCTCGGACGCATTCATTTTTTCCTTCGGCGAGGACCACCGAGGAGCATCCTTGATTATTTGGCGAAAAAAACCACGCACGCAACCGAACAAAGCACAGGGAATGGACGTCCGAGCGACGGCGAGCCTCTCCATCGCTGTTTCGCGCCAGTGTGCCTTGCGTTTTCGCGGCGCCGGGAGAGTAGGAAAGGAGGCTCCCGGGCGCCGGGTGCGTGTTGAAAGAAATAGGCTCCCATGGGGTCGCCAGTTCTTGTGGGATCCTCTGGGATTGCAGATCCGAATCGGATATTGCATGGAGTCGAATTGGATTCGGATTCCCCCCTTGGATACTCCCACTAGGAGTGGAATTACGAATGGGAATTCCCCACGAAATCCCCCCAAAGGTTTCACCCGTAACATCCCCCATTCCCCCATAGGACGCACACGTAGGAATCCCGCACTGTTTAACATAGTCGCGCTAAGCAGAGGTCGGGAGCCAGACCCCCCTATCCTGCGCTCTTCTCGCCCAATGTCGAAACGCCGAACAAGAAAACGTTCCGGCCGATATCTCGGCCGACTGAATCCACAATGTAGATGCAAACCTTTGTGTTCCCCCCGCTCTCGCCCCTGCAAGCAGCGCCTGCGCCGAGAATTTGTGACCACGCGTAATTGCGAGATTCGTTGTTGGGCGCGTTCTGTGGGCATGGTTGGCAGCTGCGATTCCAGCGTTCGCGCGATGCGTCGGGTCTTGCGCCGCATGACGAAACTCGCGACGGAAATTGTTTGTCAGTTTTCGGTCGCTCGGTCGCTGGGCCTTGGACCTGTTGACAAGCTACCCGTACTAAGGATACCCTCCCCGCAGCAGGTGCTGCCGCGGCGTGGCCGCGGCGACCGCCGAGACCGCCGCTTCGGCGGCCTCGACGGCGGCCGCCACTGCGGCCGCGCTGGCGGCGGCCGCTGCGCCGCAGCTCACCACCCACCAAACCACCCCAACCCAACCCGAAGGCTCAGATTTACCCTCGATTTCCAGTGGGGGGGGGTCGGGAAACATCGAAAAAACACATGTGGAACCCTTACCCCCCCCAACCCGAAATTCGGGTCTTCGGGTTGGGTTGGGGTGGTCTGGTAGGTAGTCAGCAGCTGGGCGATGAACAAAAAGCGGGCCCAATTGCGCCGGCATTAGCGCGTAAGCTGCCCGCGCAAGCTCGCGCAACATCGCTCTCTGTCTTCAATGCGGCGTGCCGCGCCGACGGCCCGCGCAGGCCACCGCGTGAGGTCGCTGCGCAATTTCGCGTAAGGCCCGTTTGGGATCGTCGCTCAGCTGCCGTCCGGAAGGTGTGGAAGATGCAGGCCCGGACTCCCTCGAGTCACGAAGAAATCACGACGGGAGGGGTTTTGCTGTTTTCGGCCTCTTGGGGCCCCAACGGGGCCGTGGGACAGTCAGTGAACGGCTCGGGATGAGAAGTCGGGTCCTTGGGAATGCGTCGAGACCTCTGGGGGTCGACGGTATGAAAAAGTCATGACGTCGGGGGTTTGGGGTCGACGCGGAGGCAGGCGACCCGAACAGATGCGCGCGCCTCGCGACGGTACCCTCGGCAGCCGTTGTCCCGCGTGCTCGCCGGGCGCGCTGTTTGTCTTCCTCCTCCCCCTCTTCCTCCTCCTTCCACCTTTTCTGCGCTCTGTTTGTTACCCGTTCTCGCCACTGGGCTCCCTCTAGATGGGAAAACAAGACAACAACAACACCACCACCAACAACAACAACAACCACAACCACAACCACAACAACAAGGACGACGACGACGACAACAACAACAACCACAACAACCACAACAACAACAACGACGACGACGACCACAGGAACCACAACAACAACGACGACGACGACGACGACGACAACAACCACAACAACGACGACAACAACAACAACAACACAACAGGGTCAAAGGCGCGCCTCGCGCTCCTCGCTCCTCGTCGGAGCCCGGGCGCGGCGGCAGGTCGTGGCCATGATGCCGAGCGCCGGGCTGCGGCCCGACCAGCGCACGTACGAGGCCATGCTCGGCCTGCACTTTGCGCTGCGCGATTTCGCAGAGGTCCCGAGCTCTGGGGAAGGGCTCCTCTCCGGAGGCGACGGCAGGGCCGAGGAGGCGGAGGAGGAGGAGGAGGAGGAGGAGGAGGAGGAGGAGGAGGAGGAGGAGGAGGAGGAGGAGGAGGAGAGGAGGAGGAGGAGGAGGAGAGAGGAGAGGGAGGGAGGAGGAGGAGGAGGCGGGAGGAGGAGGAGGAGGCGGAGGAGGAGGAGGAGGGGATGGAGGGGAGGAGGAGGGGGAGGAGGCGGGCTGCTCGCGGTCGGGTCCGGCCGATCCGATCCCCCAGACCTGCAGAGTCCGAGCTCGATGTCCGTTCCGACCCAGCACAGTCCGATGCCCTGCCCGGCCTGCAGGGGCCGAGCACTGTCCGCGATCCCAGAGGATCTGGTGACGATCGACTCTGCAACGCTTCTGCTGCACATCATCATGTTCATCATCATCATCATCATCATCATCATCATCATCATCATCATCATCATCATCATCATCATCATCATCATCATCATCATCAGCATCATCATTAGCAGGATCCTCATCATCATCATCATCATCATCATCATCATCATCATCATCACCATCAGCCGCATCATCATAATCATCATAAGCATCATAAACATCATCGTCATCATCATCATAATCATCCCATTAGCTTCCAGCTCGATCCTACTCCGTGGTTCGATCCAGCTCGGGCCTGCAGGGGCGGATGGCCCAGGGGCAGAGGGCAGACAAGACGCTGCAAGGAGGATCGCTTCGGGCCGGGGAGGGGGACGTGCTTTTCGGGCTGTTTCTTGGATCGGGGTTTAAGTTGGGCCTGTCCCTCTGCAGGAGGAATAGTCAAAAATGAGGAGTTGTCGAAAATTGTCAAACAATAGTCTGGGGACGATTTAGATCTGGGCCGGGGGAACTACTCGTGGCCGAGGCTCGCCGCGGCCAGAGATGCTTTTCTCAGTGCCGTATTCTGCTTCCCTGCGATCGGAGCCGCCGGGCAGGCGCATCTGGAGCGACCAGGAAAGACGTAAAGTCAACCCGCATAATAAATAAGGATGGGCAACCTTGCCAAGAGCACCCTTGCATCCTTGCCCCATCGGCCCATCCTTGGCCGTTTTCGCTGGCCGCGCCCTGCTCGCAAGGTGTCGACATGGCCTTCCAAGGCCCTTGCATCCTTATCGCGCATCCTTATGATACGGAATGACTGTACGCGAACCTGAGTCGTCGTGGGCTTGGGGTGTGTGCACTGCGCGAGCGTTCGTGGCACGGGGCTGGCCTCACGCACCGGGTGGTCTTTTAATTACTTGGGCGCGCGCGCGTCTTTGGTGGGCTCCGCAGGGTACAGCGGGGGGCGATCGGTACGGAATGTGCCCGGAAGGCCTCAGATCCTCGGGGGGTCCTCTGATGAGGGCGGCGGTGATATCCATGGTCGATTCACATTTGGAGTCCCTCCTCCGTCTCCTCCTCCTCCTCCTCCTCCTCCTCCTCCGTCTCCTCCTCCTCCTCCGCCTCCGCCTCCGCCTTCGCATCCGCCTCATTGGAATCCCACCCACCGGTTTCCAGACCCTGGATTCCGTATCCCATGGTTCCCTGTCTAATATCCTCACCGTAGTGCCCCCCCTGACCGAGAGGTGTCCGCCCCCTGGTGCAGCTTCTGGTCCAGATTGCGGGAAAGCGTTTCTTTGCCTTTCGGCTGGTCGTTGCCGCCCCCCGGACATGGGGGAGTCGAAGCGATCTTGGAGGAATCGGCACGGCATGCGAAAACGCGGAAGATCCCCTTGACTCGGGCGGAACGGGGTGAAGGGGAAAGGAGGGTTGAGGATAGCAGGGAAAGGGACATTCCAGACCAACCCACACACACATGGGGACGCGTGTTTATTATATTGTGTTGCGGCGTGACGCCGTTTTCGGGGGGGAGAGAGAGAGCGATCTAATATATATATATATATACACATGGAGAGAGAGAGAGAGAGAAAAAAAAAAGAGAGAGAGAGAGAGAGCGAACGTATATATGAACCACGCTTCGTAGAGGTTCGTCGCGTGGCCGCCCTGGCCAAGTCCGAGGGAGTGCCGCTGACGACGCGGGCCGCCACCATCGTCATCAAGGCGGCCCTGAAGGCCGACAGGTGCCCCTTTCTTCTGCTCCTCCTGCTAATTTCCTCATCCCTCCTCCCCGTCGTGCTTCCCCTTGTGCTTCATCCGCATGTGTTTCCCTCTCCCCTTCAGTACCCCCCTTTGCTCCTCCCCTGTTCTCCCCATCCTGGAGCAGTCGTCATCCTTCCCCCCTCCCCCTCCTGCTCCTCCTACTTCCCCCCGTCCTTCCTCCAGGCCGTGTCCCCCGCCCTCCTTCCTCCTTCCTCCCTTCCTCTCCGCCAGAACACCCTCGTTCCGTGCCGTGCGGTTTGGACCACAGCCCCGGGCCACCGCCGGGCAACCGTGCCCTCCAGAGTGGTGGCTCCAGGGAACTGTGCCCACTCGCGGCGTCAGGGCACGCCCCACAGCCGTACGGCGGGGGCGTTCGTGGAGGAATGGGCCCAGGAGGCCGCAGACCCGGGAGGATTCCTTATCTGATGAGGGCGGCGGTGATGCCCATGCCCAGCCAGGACTGGAGCTCCCCCGGGCTCGGGGCCCTGGGTGCCTTCCCCGATGCTTCCTTAGCCAGTGCCCCCCCCCCACAGCATTACCCAGGGTCTTCCCTCCCTCTCGCCCCATCGGCGGGGAGCGAGGGGGGGAAGTGAGAAGGATACGGCCTTTTTCAGAAGGTTCGGAAGTCCCCCGGCCTTCCGAGAAGTCTTCTCGGCCTTCCCCGAAGACTGAAAACAGCTCCCAGAAGGCGCGAGGGCTTCTGAGAAGTTCCGCCGCCTTCCGAGAAGGCCTTCTCCTTCTCACCTGCCCCCGCTCGCTCGCCGCCGAACTCCCTCTGCGCGAGCAGGTGCGAAGAGGCCATCCACCACTTCCGCCAGCTCAGGGACCTCTGGGGCCACGGCGAGGCCAGACCACCTCCCCTCCCTTTTCGGGGCGG